GCAGCTTGAAGAGGTGGTCGTAGTCCCGGGCCATGGCGGGCGGGGGTGGTGCGCGCGGGCGGGCGGAGTCGGTCCTGGCCTCGCGATCCGCAGCTCCCTCCGGGCTGCTCCGGCAGCGGCGGATCCACTTCCCGAACAAACAGCCGGAACTGACAGAAACACCTCCCTCCGCTCCCCCCCTCCTCCTCCTCAGCAGCCGCCGCCGCTGCCACCGATACCCTCCTTCCCGCCTCACCCCGCTACTGCGCAGGGGCAGCGACTGGCCCCGCCTCTGCGCAGCCGCAACCCGGACCAGCCGCGCCCTCGCCGAGCACACGCACTGCGCACGCGTCCTGGCGGAGTCTCAGCGGCGCGGGAGCGTCTACCTCGCGTCTCTTCTGCTGGCGTCGCCGTCACCGTTGCCGCCTGCGGGCCTGAGGGCTTGCAGGGCCGAGTTCCGTCGAGCCCTGGACTGAAAGAAGCCCAGGGTGCCCGAGGAGCCCGGCCGTGGACGTTCTCTCTCCCTCATCTTCAAGACCCGCACGCGCTGCGGAGAGATGATAGGCACGCAGAGGCGGGGGCGGGGCTCACGCCGGGTGCCCAGTCTCTCGCGTCCCGGGTCTGGGGTGCGAAAGCAGCTCCGTGCGGCGGCTGAAGGCTCGACGCCGACCCCGCGGTGCTGGTGCTGGTACCCTACCGTGCCCCGGGCCTGCGGACCGGACGTCGAAGGCGGCAGGTGGCTGCCGAGTGACACAAGGCAGGCGTTGCCTGCCGGAGCGTAGCTGCTAGAGAGTGGCCTTTAGGGGCAGCGCTGGGCCGAAATCCCACCCTAGCCTCTTGGAGCCTGCGTTTTCTCATTGGTAGACGGGGAGAGTAGTCCAGCTTGCAGCTAAGCCTGGGAGAAGAATGAGCGGGTGTGTCAGCCACACTTCGGAGACAGAAAGCAGCCGCCCCCTCGCTTCAGTGTCACCACCCAGATGCACGTCTCAAAACCGTGTGGCTAGGAAGACCTGGGCCGCCAGCAGTTAAGCGGTATTCATTTTATCATCAGGTTTTCGAGCTTTAGAGTGAGTTCCCACCTGCCCTGCCCTTTAGATCTGAAACTGAAAGTAGTATGTACCCACCGCCATCCTAACTGCAGAGCTGCAGGATTTTTAAGCTCTTATACCTTTCTTATAACCCTGTCCCTTTCCAGTCAAGTACCTGTTGGATATTTCCACGTGTTTACCAAACTTCCTTTTCTTTTGATTTTATAAAAAGCAATGCTTGTGGTTTTAAAAAAAAAATGGGCCGGGCGCGGTGGCTCAGCCTGTACTTTGGGAAGTAGAAGTGAGAGGACTGTCTGGGCAACTTGGTGAGACCTCGTCTCTACAGTAAATCACAAAAATTAGCCGGGCATGGTGGCGTGCGTCTGTTATTCCAGCTACTTGGGAGGCTGAGCCCAGCAGGTCGAGGCTGCGGTGGCCATGAGCGTCCCACTGCACTCCAGCCTGGGCGACAGAGTGAGACTCCAACTCAAAAAGAAAAAAAAAAAAAATTGTACAGAAGCTTACTGAAAAGTACAAACTTTTTTATTTTCCTCTGAATCACTTCTCACAGGTAACTCCTGTAACTTTCTTGGATATCCTAAAATGCTTTACACTTTTTTGTTAAGTGAATAAATGCCCTTCAGTGAATTTCCTATTTCCATACAAACATATATTTATGTACCTTGCCTTTTTAAAAATGGGTGTACATCTTTTCCTTCTAACAATGCACTTTTATCATTTATCAGCTGCATGGTGTGGTACTCTCAGGTGGTTGTACTGTAATGTAGCCACTCTGCTGTTGATAGGCAGCTATATTTTTGTTTATAATTATTTATTACAAGCATTGTTTGCAGGCAGGATCCTTGAACAACATGTGACGTGTCTGACTCAAGTTTTGAGTTGTTTTTCCAGGAGCTGAGAATTAGTGTGGTGATGCCAAAAGGACATGGTTCAAGACCAACCGGGGCAAAATAGGAAGATCTTGTCTCCACAAAAAAATTTTAAAAATCGGCTGGGTGTGGTGACAAGTGCCTGTAGTCCCAGATACTCAGGAGGTTGAGGAGAGAGGATTGCTTGAGCCTAGAAGTTCAAGACTGTGGTGAGTCACGATTATGCCACTGCACTCCAGTCTGGGAAAGAGTAAGATCCCCCAGCTCAAAAAAATAGAACATGGGCTTGAAATCTAGCCTGGGGAGAGGAGCTGCTCATGTGCTGTTGATTGAAGAGTCCTCTTTGCTCTGAAAGATTAGTGTCATCCCCTTTGACTCAGCAGTTTTAGGAAATGGGGGGGGGACGGAAGCCTCGGTGGAGCCATTAGGCAACTAGGCAATCACACCCAGCCTGGACCAGACAGCAAGGCAGTAGGTTATTTCAGCTCATCTTCACAACCTGCTCTGCATTCAGGAAGTCTTATGCTAGCTTTGGAATCCTAGCTCCGTCCCTTAAAAGCTTTTTGATGTTTTTAGTCAGGCTTAGAGGTGCACACCTGTAATTCCAGCTACTCAGGAGCAGAGGCAGGAGATCAGTTGGGCCCAGGAGTTCAAGATCAGCCTGGGCAACATGGCAAGACTCCCATCTCAAAAAGGAAACTTTGATTTTGGATAAGTCACATCACACACTATCTAAGAGGCCCTGAGTTGTGAGGATTAGAGATATGTTTGTAAATTACCTGTCACATATAGTCATTTGTTAAGCAGTAACTAATGTTGCTAATCAAGGTCATTCTGCATTGACTCATTCATACTTTGAGCCATTTCCTGTTGTAGACTCTAGCACACATTTCCAGGGCAGCCTCCTGATATTAGACTGCAGAATACTTTTCGGAAGTAAAGCAAAATTGGCCATGAAGAAAAACCAGACTCCTTGGGCCAGGCACAATGGCTCATACCTGTAATTCTAGCACTTGAGGCTTAGGTGGAAGGATCACTTGAGGCCAGGAGTTCATGACCAGCCTGAGAAACATAGTAAGACTCTTTCTACAAAAAATTTTAATTAGCTGAGTCTGGTGGCTTGGGAGGCTGAGATGGGAGGATTGCTTGAACCTAGGAGTTTGAGGCTGCAGTGAGCTATGATCATACCACTGCCCTCCAACCCAGGTGACAGTGTGACCTGACTTTGCCTGAATGTGTCATCTGGAAAGCAGTGGGCATTAATTCCTTCATTTACTTAGTAACTATTTAATGAGTGCTCATGTGCCATGAATTGTAGAGCATATTAGAATAGAGCCTTTTCCCTTCAGGAGTTTAGGGTTTGGACATACTCATGAAGAATTAAAAATATAAGACAATGATAGAATAGCTGTCAAATAAGCAGTCAAGACTTCAGAGGAGGAAAGCTATCACTTTAGCTGGAATGATGGGGAAAAGATTTCATCATAAAGATTTCATGATGGCACTAGAGTAAGAGAGAGCCTTGAGTGTCAGGTGTATTTAGACAGCTGTTGTCACAGCCTGTATCATCAATTTTGGCTTGGAGGGGAAATTCCCTACAGGCCAGGGTATGTGTCTGACATCTCCAACTGAATATCCGGAGCACATTTTCCTTTAGAAACATAGTTTTACATTTATTTAAACTACAGTTCAATAATGAGTTAAGGTGTCTTTTGTTCTATATACATATTTAAACTTTTGTGACCTGAGATAAGTATCAGTATGCACTGTGCTGGAAAACTGTTCCAATGTTTTGAACAGCCAGTGTACAGGTAAGTTTTTGCAACATCACCTGTTTGTACA